GGAAACAGCACAACTTTTTTCTACTTTCCAGAGCCCGTCATAATTTTTGTACAGATTTTTTGATGGAACTACCAAATTTAAGCAGGCTCGTCTCAGACACAAATGCTTCAAACACCAATAAATCTTCGGATTTTGAAACTTACAAAGACGGATTATGGTTTGACACTAATTTTACAATCCAAATGAGCATTCACACTTCAGATTAGCAACTTCCGAAAATTCCGGGTAAGGCCTGGGGCGCCGCGGAAAACCTGAATTACGATGATTTTATCCCGGAAAACTTGATGAATTGGAAACCAAAAACAAGTGTTAGAAAGAGGAGAAAAGGCTGCGTCGAATGATAGCTAAGTCGCTTGCCGGTTGTTGTTCTGTGAGGTTTGAGTTGACCAAATATGGAATCTGATAGCATTGAAAAACTGATTCCAGAAACTCTAAAAAGCAAGCTAAGGAAAAGAAAAAAATTACTTGATGTCCTGTAGGGTTTGCTCTATCTACCAGTCACTTGTGCCTCTTCGGAGACTAGGTACAAAAATTTAGAAAAATAGCCGAACTTGACCATGGCAAAAAGCAAGAGTCGCAGATTTTGGTAATTTTTCGAGAGCTCATTGAATATCATGCAATGAGCTTACAACCGTTAGAAAGAGGATGAAATATTGCAGCAAATGCTCCTAAGACCACTTGAAAATCTTAATTCCACGAAATGTGGCGCTCATTTGAAAAAAAACGACATTACTTTCGGAACGACCCAATATATAAAATACATTACCGCTCACAAAACTTGCACAATTTTTGTCGCGGACTTGCGCGAAATTCGCCAAATTCTGCGAAGTTTCCAAAATTCTGCGACATTCCCGGAATTCCGCGAAATCACGCGAATCATGCAAACTACGAGGTGCCATAAGTTTCTTCGGAATGAATATATTCTTGATCCTAAAAAAGTGTTATGCTTCGCTATTGCGAATCTTTAAATGTACAGCATGTCCTCAATATTCCGTCTTCATTTAAATTTTTCTGCGGATGTCTATTCGCAAGGTTATAGCACGCATATCACAAAAGACTGCAGTAAGCACTTCTTGATGGTGGTGTTCCCGTAGATTATCGAGCACTAAAAAGCAGCAGGAGACTTCGTTTTGAAAGAGAGGGAAGAGCGTGATCTGGTAAAATCATGTCGTCTGTTATTCTAATCACTGTAACCTTGAACTATGAAGATATCTAGCTGAGCAGATTTAATTCTTGTGATTAACGGATCAGATAACCTCTATGAGCAAGTTTTCCAAGAATTTTGGATTATTTGGTTCTTTCTTTTCACGCTTTGAAGCTAGCCGATTGGTTTTGGATAAAATGTTGATGATCGGATGCGGAAACTCCGCTCCAGGTTTTCGGGCACGCTGTTGACGATGGTGTAGTACAGGTTTTATCAGAGGATATGGTGAGGGAATTGTAGCTAAGCCACAAAAGTCAAATTCTCCCCGCATTTCGCGTATCTACTAGAGTGCTTGCCTGTTTGGCTTTAGAGATTAAAGTCAAGAGCAATCGCCAAGTTACGAGCTTATTAATCACATCCTCTGAATATCGCCTTAAATGTAAAAATTGCATACTTCGTCGAAATTCCCTCGTGGGTGATTGCATACAGGGCGGCCCTGCACGATGTGGGCAAATGACATGCTGGAAATCGTTTTGGATGGAAAGCATAGGGGATATCATAAATATAGCTTAACATGTACATACACTTTCTCGACAACTTGCTGCGCGACTGATATGCAAAAACAGCCCTGCTTCAAAATCCAATTTTTTTCATTGAGCTGTGATCAATTGTCTCGGTTACAGCGCACGCATAACGTAAATTTGAGATATAGACGGACATGGACTAGAAGGTGCATAGTGAAGATTGTGTGGAAAAATCATCTGACTGAAGACAAACTGTGACTGTGGCAAGCTTTTTTCTGAAAATTTCCCACTACCGCAAAATGGAAAAATGACTCGTTTGCAGCGCACAGATGACAAATGGCACCAAATTTGTTGTGTACGCGCAGTTGGACTAAGGAGTAACGAGCAGTAAGGACAAAATACAAAAAATTATGGGAAACTCATGTGAATGAAGAGGATGCTTAATTTTTCAAATAATGCGAACAATTGCTTACCTAATACCCACCTAAGGTAGGCAAAACTTCCTTCACATAAGTCCAAAATTTTTACATAAATCTGTTCTACACCTAAGTTGTATATATAGTAACATTTTCGTTCAAAAGCTCCTCTCTCCTCCTTGTTAGGATCCGAAAGAGCAAAGACGCCGGTCTTTTTGAAGAAGAAAGTGCGCTCCAAGCGAACAACCTACGCAGCTGGGAATCAAGATCAAGTGGGAAATCGTAAAAACCGATAGGCAAAGGCAAAGCCGCTTCACTGATTTTATTTGTCACCCTCGTGCGCTATTGCATAAGACGCTGATTGCAAATCTTATGTCCACGTCGCTCAAGAGTACTGCATTGGGTGTGGATGTTGCGTGGCCTCAGCTACCTAGTTAGATATCAAAGTATCTATGTACTTTGTGGTAAGAGTTTAAATTCATCTAATTACTATACCCAGCATGGTAGGTTAAGCGAAGTGAGCGTGAGATTTGCAGTCAGCGTGTTATGCAACCACTCAGGAAATTTTGACAAAGGCGATCTCTGTGTTTTGGGCAATATTCATGAGAACGTGATTTCGAAACTCGTAATTCGGCGAATATTGTGGACTAGAGCCTGTGGCATGCACCCTTCCGTAAAACGAATCCCAATGACTCTAATCTATAGATACAAGCAGGCATGTTCTCTGGCAGAAATGCATCAGCGCAGGCGAATTTACGAAGTTTTGTGACTTAGCTACACTTCCCTCATCATATCCTTTGAGAAAACTCTGCGCTCTACAGAAAGCACGATTTTCATAAATGTGTCAGAAAACCTGGAAGAAGTTTCCCAATCCAAGATCATCGATATTCCAGCAAAAATCCATAGGCGAGCTTCGAGCGTAAAATGGGAAAAAATCAATCCGAACTTCTTGAAAAGCTTGCTCCTAACCTGGCGGTTACGAGCACAGCTTAGCTACATAGCATAATATCTCGGGGTTACAGTTGGTAGAATTTGAGATGACATGATTTGTCCAGAATTACCAGCTCTTTTATCTCATTTGCGATGAAGTTCTGCTTTTTAACGCTCGATAATCGACGGAAACTGCACCATCGAATAGTTATTACTGGAATATTTTACATGTATGTGCGTTGCGTTACACTCATACTTTGATCCGAATCAAGAGATTGATCATTTGAATGAAAAAAAAACTTGAATATATTATATTTGCATTCAACATCGGAACAGGGATTTTTGCAGATAAAATTCGAGAACTAGACTTATTGAAAAGCGAGATTTCTAACGAATAATCAACTGTAATTCGAAGTCGTATTCGAGCGAAAATCGTTTTTGAATCGCTCGAGTTTAGTGCAGGCCATAAAAACCAAGCCGGGCATGCAATCTTTAGATATTGTTGCCCTAGATATTCGATTAAATCATTTGAATATTCTTATATTCCAATGTTTTATCCAAATGTTTAGCTACTCGAATAGACCAATTGAATGTTTATTCTGCGTTCGACCATCATTGTTCGATAAATCGACATTCGTTCACTCAAAATCTTTGCTTTTAGAATTCTATTCAGTATTCGTTTGCTTGGAACAAATAATGAATCCAGTTGATATTCGTTTATTCGATATTTTTGATTTTCGATAATTATTCGTTATTCGCTTAATCGGAAATTCTAGCGTAGTTGGCGTGATTCGCGTAATTCTCCGACTATTGCAGAATTTCGCGATTTTCGCTGAAGTCCACGAAATTCACGGAATTTGCACGTTTGAAGGTATTGTTTATACTATATCGCTACGCACTGATTCTGAGTATTCGAGGTGCTTTTTACATTTGGAATTCGTTAGATTTTCTGCTTTTTACAAGCTTTTCTATGTGACTCACGGGATAATAAGAGGAACTTAAAATTATAACAGACCTACAGAATAAAGCGGCAACTCGATCAGTGGGTTTAGTAATAAGGTCGTTTACGATTCAGCAAATTTAGCATAGTCTTCATATAAGAAATTATCTTGTGAGCCATTTTTAGATAAACCCTCCTGTTCTTTGCAACTACATGGCAGCGGATAGGGTTGCGAACTCAACTCTTTTGGGCAGCCGCCTCCGCGGACAAATAGTCCTTTTGCAATGCTGTGGAGTTTGAGAACGTTTGCAGTTGAGAACCAGCAAGTCTGCGGAGGCCAGCTCAAAATGGCGGAGTTTTTCTCTACTCAATATCAGCCGTCCAACCGTCATACAAGAAAATATCACCCTAATTTCACGAGTACAAAGCTCACCTTTTTCATTTTGTTGAGCAAGTAGCTCGACTGCACCGCTTTGCCTCGTAAAATGGTAGCTCTTCCACACTATTATTTTAGGTGAGGAGCAGCAAGCTAGAGAGTTTTTTGATCGCAAAATTTTTTGCTGCGTTTAGAGTCGGATTTAGAGCAAAAACTAGTGCGTCAAGGTACTCTTACTTTCTCAACAAAAAATTCTTTTAGTAATCTAAATAAATTTACGAGTGCAAGGGTTTTTCTGAAATCGACCAGGCGAAACGCCACAGGATTTGATGACCCAAGAAGTCTCCACAGTGCTGCACATTATGTAAGAAAATTTTACGGCTTAGCCGTCGTTTCGCGGCGCACAGCAAGGCAGCTGAGCTGATCGCTTTAAAGAACGAAAAGTTGCGTTTTGCGCTTGTGAAACTAGCGTATGCTTGAAATTAAACATGAAAATGTTATAGCAGCCACCGCTGCTAAGTTTGAAAGCAAATGACAATTTTTCAAAGATCTGAATATCGTTACTTGGGATTTTTTGTGTAGTTATCATGGGCGAGCACAAAACACTTGAATGGTGAGAAATGATTCAATTATGTTATCGTAACCTTTTGAATCATCTGCAGACGCGCCTTCACGCTTCCTCTTGTTGTTCAGACGTGTCTCTCTCCGATTCAGCGACGCCTTCCTGCTGTCTAGGAGAGCTTTCGGATTCTCTTGGTATGCCATCAGATTTGGTGCCAGGCTCGTCTTCAAACAATCCTTCTTCGCGCTTTACGGTGATCCCTTGCCTCCGATAGTAGCAAACGACAACGACATCACCTTTTCCTGGGGCGCATCCAAATGAGATTTCGCTACCATCCGCAACAAATCCTTTCTGAAACTTTTCCTAATTAGCAACAAGCGCCTCATAAAAGCCACCTGACCTGCCTTTCAATTTTGTCAAAATCTCATTTAGAGACTGGCTCACCTTGGCTACAAAGTCCTAGTAAAATATAGTCCTATACGTATTTTTTGTTTCCTTTGAATTTTTTCACATTATATTGCGAAAGAAAGTTTCCGGGCACTTTTGTTAGTTTCCCTATCTTTTTTGCACTCAGTTAAAAATTGATGACTATGCTTTTTACTTTTTTTTTAGTGAAGACCTTGTAGGCAGTGTCCCACCAGAATGTTGTTAAGATTTTTGCAAATCGCAAGCCTCTTCGCCTCTGTTTAACTCAAAGCAATTCCAAAATCGCATAAAATCTACGATAATCTCATTTTTCAAAGCCCCGTGGAAGCAACGCGGACTAGTTGTGCTTTTTTAGCAAGCCTTTGCCATATGGCAGCAACATTAAGGAGATAGACGTCAGGAAGAGGGACATGTTGAAACGCGTAACGGGGAAATCGGGAGCGTCGGGGGGCCAAACCGCGCTTTGTGGAACACCTTGAGGGTTAATTTCTCGGCCTAGAAGGGTCCGGATCGAGTTGGACTTGGGGAGGTCGCCTATCAAAGGGACGTGTAACATAATATGTGGAAACCCGCAGTGCCTCGTTTTTGATGCGCTGCCTTTGAGCTTTCAGCTCCTTCAGTCATCGCTTTGTCAAAGTCGAACCTGTCGTCACATTGGAAAGGAGCGCTTTCAACAGAAAAAAACTCGCATTCACTTTTCACTAGGAACATTTCAAACTCACAACAAAATTATTCCAAACTGTGTATGACACAAGTAGGAGTTGCCTCCTTCAGAAGCACAATTGCAGTTAGATCTGGCGCAATGTATAGAAGTTAGAAGCTACCGAATTCACCACTAAAGTAGCTGGTTCTGCACCGTCGTCAGTGCTCACCGCAACTATAGCTAGTTCCAGAATTTTTGTTAAACACCAAAATAAAATTTGCAGTGAGTGTGAATTTGAGCGCTTCTTTGCAGAAAGAATAGCTTTTGAAGGAAATAAACAATGTTTTTAAAGAGCAAAAAGTTGTCAAATTTTACAACTCATTAGCGGAGGAAAGGACTGCAGCTGTAGATTCATAGCGACACTGGTGGATTTCATATAATCACTAATGCCTAGGCTAAGGAAAATTCTTAATGAATGTGACTCATATTACAAGGCAAACTTTTTGCTTTCTGGTTATGCCACATACTGCGATGGACCCAAACATTATCAGTATATTTAGTTGAACCTTATCCCTATCAACAGAGTAAACTTTGAACATTAACACCCTACTGTTTGATTATGGCCGTTCAAAGCATTCAAACAAGTACTAAGGAACTTGTGCGCTTCACGCTGTTGCCTATCACCTCATGATAGGCGCTGCAATAAAGCTGCCATCGACAGTGAAAATGGCAGAAAGATCATGTAGGCCGATAAATATGAAAAAGTTCATATGAAAGAACACTAAAACATGGCGTAATGGGCCGAACTTGGAAAAGGCGTTACAAAAGCTATGGTAGAAAAGTTTTGAATTCTCGTTTCGCTTTTTCAATAAAAGCATGATTGTCACATTATAAGAAAAAAAATTTCACAAACACTGACCTGCTCCAGTTCATTCTTCAGTGCAGAACCAGACTCAAATTCCCTTCTGATTCCTTCAACATCGCTTAGACTTTCGACATTCCTGCAATCAATACCAAGAAGGTGACTAGCGAACAAGTGATGAGTGCATTAGCATACTTTTCGGCAAGGACAACATGAGTTTTATTTGTGGCATAAGAAAAAATATTTATTTCCTCATAGTGTTGTTCAGCAAGATTTATCTCAAGGCAATGAGGTTTCTGAAAAATGTAGATTGAAGCGAATGGTAGTCATAGCCTACAATGTGGTTGCCAGATATTATGGATCTCTGGTTTCTCCGAATGAAAAAAGGCAATAATTCTACTAAAGGCAAGGACTGTTGTAAAAAAAACTAACGAAATTCATTCCTATGGCTACTGATGCGAACACAGTCGCCAGCGGTTGATTGAGCGATAGAAGGTTTGCATTGCAGGTTTCACTGGAGCCATCGTAATCATAAAAGATAGAGCTATCGTAATCATCTTCTAAGACGTCCAATTGCCCAGCTTGCTGAGCAGCACCACTTTCAAGTTGATCGCTACCGACAGGCTCAACAGGGTTAGGACCCACATCACTATTAGCTAGAACGCCCAAGACTTGTACGAGCTAAAAGTTATTTTAAGTCAAAGACGAGAATCACCCTCGAGGACTTACTAGAAGGACAGTACGGAAATAGACCATTTTCTGTTAAGCTCATGTTACTGGTGCCTATTTATATCCCATAGAGAGCAATTTTGTGAAACAATTTGTTCGTTAGACAGGTTGATCAGTGAAAGTGCATGCAATCCCTGATCTCTGAGAGCTATTACGAGGTGGCAATAAGCTTTCGTTCGCGCACAGATAAAGTACAACTTTTTTTAGTATGTAGCACTTGTTATCCGCCCCCATTCATAGGCGCTCATCTCCGAATAAGTGCTGTTACAGTAAACAAATGTCACGCTGCATATCATTTTGAGGAGAAAACATATTTTTCTCATTCATGCTTCTCAAAAACAGTCAAATGAACGCAATTACACGACCTGCCCAAGACGATCTTGTACGAGTGCTTAATCCATATGGTGAGTGTTTGGTAAACAGTTGTTTTGTATGTATCGTACCGCTCAATAAAATCAATCTGCATGCTTTCGGCGCTCGAGAATAGTTGCGGGTTAGCAGACATTTCTATGGAACTTGGCTAAACCACTGGTGCATTGAGATTTCAAAAAAAATCATGGCAAAACAACCCGGATTCCTCCATTATCTGCTTCATAATCACTTTTACAAGCGGCTTATTTCAAAACCTAATGTTTCATGTTCCAGATGTCTTATGTTAGATTCATATGTAACCTTGTTTTTTTGCTCTCGAATTTTTTTCCCATTTTTGGACTTAACACTTAATATAAAGTAGTGCTATCTGACTCAATGAGAAATGAACTTATAATGAGAAAGGTTCTTCCCTCTCAGGGAATGATTCGTGAACTTTCTGAAAGTAGCCTGCATGAGCTATAAAAGCGCAAGTGGCGTCCTTTTATTTGTGAGTAATTAAAATAATGTTCAAGATTTTTGTAAAACTCAGACAGGATTTCAGAAATTCAAATTCGGGATCCCGCCAGTCTCCGTTTTCAGGATTTTAGGGTTAAAAGTCCAAAATTGGAAAGTATCCCAAGCCTTTTTTTGTGAAGAACGTGACTAACGGCATGCCCTTCATTCGAGAAGGAATATTTTTCACCTTACTTTCCCCAAAAAGCTCCCGAGACATTCTTCGACACAAATCTGGGGAAGTACCTCATAAAAAGTTCGAGACCAAGAATTTGTGTAAAAAGGTTATGATAATACTGAAGAGAGTATTGACTTCTTTTGAAAATGGAGCAGAAAAATAAGCTGCTGCTTCACCGTTTTTCTAAAATAGCTTTCTCAAAGACGGTGCAGATGCTCTCGCGAGGCGTTAGCACAAACTTCTCAACTGCCTATGATGGTCCAACAGCAAAGGTCACAGTATGGCTCTCAGTGTGGTGACAGACTGCGATTACTAATACGAAAGAATCGATGTAAACAAAAATAAAACAACCAAATCTGGTGGAACTTGAATTTCTCCCTTCTTTCTGTTATTCGTGGCTTAAATTTCGTCTTCGCAAAAAGCATTCAACCAAACAGCAAAATATTGTAAGACACTCTTCTAAGAAATCGAAATCGGAATTGTTTATTAGTCTGCATACCCTCTTCATCTGCCTTCTGATGAGCTGAGCTTCGTTTTACTAGACTTTGTACTGGCAATGTGTTTTCGAAGTAAGTTGCCGTTGTATCTTTCGCAGTTTTGCAGGTATGTGTCGTGTTCATTTCTTTGCGCATCGATACTGATGTACTTTGAAAATTTCGTCTCACAAGAATCTGCGATTTCCTTTAGATCACATTTCAATCAATCAATCAGTCGATTTCCATCTGCACTGAGAAATGGATAGCTCTTTAGCCTTTTTTATCTTTACCTGCACATTTAGCATCAGCATCGCATTCAGTACAGGTGCTCATGTTTCCCTCTTTAGCAAAAATTTATTCTCCCAATTTCTAAAAATCTCTAAAAGACACGTCAGAGTTTCCGAACCGTTGTCGTACCAATCCCAATTTCACCATAATGATGTTTGGACAACTTTAAGAATAAATTTCAAGTATTAGCGGAAAATAACGAAGTTTGGCAATGTTGAGCACTAGATGTGGTGACAATCACGCCCCAACGATATCAAATTAGAGAGCTTTTTAGGATAAAGCTCTGAAGCTATTTTAGAACACTTTAATGACTTATCAAGATCAAAAAAAAGCTTCTTGTGCTAGGTGCTGCACAAGCCTGCTGTTGCGGCTCAGCGATGCGAGCAGCTCCTCGAAACAGCGAGCCGGGAGCGCTGGTTGCCGCACTGCCAGTCGCGCTGCTATTTTCGCGGCTGGACCTCTTCCGCTGGCGCGCTGCCAAGCAGAGGGCTATATATAGCCGCGCCCAGAGCGGTTGTATTCTCCCCTCGGTTCATTGTCTTCTCCCGAGTGTCGTTTATTGATTGAGTTCTCCTTATCCTTGGCAGCGGTCTGGCAGCTCCCGCATGAATGTTTTGTGTAAGCGGTCGAGCATGTAGTTGGATTGGGATCGAACGGTTCGTTTGTGGATTGAGGATTCTAGCAAGTTCCATCCGCGGTAGTGAAAAGGTACGTACCGTTCCGTACGGACCAGGCGTCATGCGGTGGACATGAGAGGAACCCTGAGTACGTTCGCTGAAGGAAATGTCTTCTGGGCCATCGATGGCGCGGGGTATCGCGGCTCGCCCCGCGCTGTAAGGGTTTAGTATTTTCTTGTAGTTTTAGTAGTATGTTTAGTTTAGTAGTTTATTTTGTGTTATTTAAGATAAACTTATGTGATGTATCATCTGTGTTAGATTTCCTGCGTTCTAGTCGTGCTTGTATTTAGTATGCGGGTAGGGGTAGTCGCGACACGGTCGCGCAAGCAAGAGCTCAGCTTGTTCGAGCGTTTGTAACATCTCAGGAGCACGGGATCGGGTCGTATGTGGCGAGCGGTAAGAGGTGCTGAGCCCCCAGGAGCCGCAACACCTGCCAACTGAATTTTGACAAGTAATAAATTCAAAAAATTTGTTAAAGTTAGTTTGAAAATATCGCGAAATGATGTTAGCGAAAAACGAGATAAATTTTGAAATGGCCCACTTATATACATGAATGTCATATCACGAAATCTACGGTTTGTGAAGAATGCAGCATGTATATGCATAAGATTTTGACCTATGGTGTTTTCTTATGATGGGGCCACCATTTCAAGAAATAGGGAGCACTGTGCAAGAGCATTAGACATGTACAAAGTTTCAGTAATATCTGCTCTTAGCATAGGGGATCTTTCGCTCTCAATAAACGTTTTTTGGAAATTTGCATTGACCCTTACGTCGTATTTCTGATTCATACCTCACGTAATTCGTATCACATTAGGAAAATTACAAAAAAAATTATTAGGAAAGTTCTCCTAATAATAATTTTGTAACTTTACGAAAATCAAAGGCGCAATGAAGATAAAAGAACCACAGATATGCAATTACAGTAAGGATACATCGGTTTTCTTCGTCAAAGGACACCTCTCACAAGGTGATGATACTTGATCGAAGTGGGGTTTTCATATGAAATTGTATGCCACCTTATAGAGCACGGAACGCTGATTCCAAATCTGCTTTCCCTATCTGCAAAGCTCTTCTAGGAGCGGAGTTCTGGGAATTTTTTTTTAGTAAAAATTCAATAGTCTGATTAAGGTAAAAACAGGTATTGAGGTCTTCCCGACGCTTAAAAAGAGTATCGACTGACAAGAGCATTATATATTAGTATTAGTATTCGATTGAAGGTATCTATTGCATAGAACGTCCTGGTAGTGATCATAGCCCCATTCGAGCTCATAGACTGCAGTTTGAATGATTTTATGGTAGCCGCGTGTTCGAATTTTTACTCCAAGAAATTCCCATAACTTCGCTCCCAGAAGCGCTTTAGAGATATGAAAGCAGATTCGGAATTAACGTTCTAAGCACTATAAGACGATATACATTTCATGATGAAATGCCACTTCGACCAAGTATCCTTTCCTTGTCAGAGCAAGGACCAGGGAATACTACCTCAATTTTTCGCTGGAAACCAACACTTTATATGAAGCGAGTATCACTATTAGGTTGGACCGAAAGTATACAAAATATTTTGAGGGCCTCCATTTTGCTCAATCATATAATCCCGACATTAGATAGGACAGATACAGTCATTGGATTTTTTCTATGGTTAAAGTTGAAAAACAGGTAATGTCCCCCCCCCCCTATTCGCGAGTTTTCCATGCAAAATTTGATTTTTTCAGCTTAGCGTTTGAAGGCTGACATTTCATGGTCGTACCTCCGAAGGTTGTAGTACATGAATGATTTGCGAGCAGCGTAGCATCGCTTTGGCAGAAGCATACCAATTTTCGTTCTTTTAATATTTAGTAGGAAAAAATACAGTAAGTGTATATATTAGGTTGTTGCAAAAGTTCTGTCGTTTCATTTTCAAAATTTGTAACTCCGCGAAATTTCAACGGATTTGCTTGCTTTTGATTTTATTAGAAAGAATAAGTCTTTCGCTTTCAAATGCTGTTTCGTGGAGCTTCTGTTTCATACTGGGTGAGGAGATAAAAATGGGAAACTAAGACCATATAAGCTTTGACCATTTTAAGTTAGGTCACCAAAAATCTGGAATGCTGCAGAAAAATCTGAAATCGTCAGTACATATGTTTTTCGGCCTACCCTTTGCATCTGTGAGGAGATTGTGCTGTTTGGACGTCTCTGTGAGAAGTTATAATTTTCGCGAAAATTGACAAATCAATTATTTTTGGCGTTTTCCATAGTAAACTTGATATTCATAACTTCTCACGGAGACGTCCAAACAGCGCAAACTTTTCACAGATGCAAAGTTTAGGCCAAAAAACATATGTACTGAGGATTTCAGATTTTTCTGCAGCATTCCAGATTTTTGGTGACCTAACTTAAAATGGTCAAAGCTTATATGGTCTTAGTTTTCCATTTTTATCTCCGCACCCAGTATGAAACAGAAGCTCCACGGAACAGCATTTGAAAGCGAAAGACTTATTCTTTCTAATAAAATTGCAAGCAAGCAAATCCGTTGAAAATTTCGCGGAGTTACAAATTTTTGAA